TGAACTCTGCACAGAAGCATGTGGATACATACCAAAAGAACATAGAGATTGCATTTAAGGGGGATGGCTTCTCAGTGGAGTAGGGTCAAACACTGCCATATGAAAAATAACTTTCTGGATGAAGAGAAGGCATGGGGGCATCTGTTTGGCCAGAAGTACTGGCAAGACCTCAGGAGGAGTGAGATCAGACAGGGAAAGGGGTGTCTCAGAACTTCCATTTTGTAAAGATCTGTAACTCTCTAGTCAGAGTAAAGTGACAGAGGTTAACCTTGGCTAAGCCTACTGTGTTCCTTACCTTTTTGCCATGTTCTTGAAGTGATAAATTCATAACCACAGAGCGACTAAAGGCTAAGTGGAGCTCTGAATGTGTGTAAATGACTATGGAGATTCAGGGGTCTAAGGCTCTGGTCCCAGAATCAGTGCTGTAACTAGGTATTTTTGCGCAAAATATTAATTATGGCCGCCCTTGCTTTAGGTTATTACGCATTGTGCTCTTTACTTTTGCAGCTTAGTATTTTTACTTCTTGTGTCCCTGATTATGATGAGCCTGAGGCAAGCTCTCCACTTGCTCCTTGTTACGGTCCAGCCCAGAATGTGGAGGCAGCAGGACAGTGGAGCTGCACATCTCTCAAAAAGTTTTTAATCAAGCCCTCTGAGCGGATCCAGAGCTAGAAACAGAGATCAAGGTCGGCATGGATCCAGTTGGCCTAGTTCAAGTAGGGACCACTGGTTGGGTCCAGCAGGCTGAAGTCCCTCCATGGCGCGCTGGCCCAATTACCCTTGCCCTTAATTAAACAAGGACATTGACAGGTTAGAACACTATTAAGCACTTCTCTTGCATTTCAGTGGCCAAATCAGCAACTAGCCATTTAAAATCGGAACCAAAATTTACTTGATTTTGCTTAACTGCAAAACATTTTCTCCAATGTTGAGTTAACAAGACAACAGCAGCATTCCCCATAGCTGTGTGTGGCTGAAATCCAATCCCTCCAGCGCCAACCCCTGGGCAATGACAGCAGGACCTTCCGCGGCAACGTATTTTTGATTCTGAAGGCTATTTTGTTTTGGTAGCTACAATATAAAATCTTTTCCCCTGAACAAAGTAAAAGTGCTTCATAATGCAACAGCAATTTTCATGAATCTAAAAGAAATATGACAGCCTCATTCCGGCTCTGGTGGTGAAGGTGATGGATTTGGTGGATTTTGCTGCACATGTGATTCAATGAGACATTTATAGGTTGGTTCATTCCAATTGTGCCCCTATATCTTTCATTCTAAGCAAATAAAACTTGGGGTTGGTAAGAATGCGGGTGAGTTACAGTTTGCTGCTGGGAGGTGGCAGTGGTGGTGGGAATAGGTGTGGAGTGATGGAAGTGTGAGATTAAGTTTTTAAACAAAACATGCTGCTAATTCCAGTGCACTAAAACTGGAATTTTTTTCTGTTTTTAAAGGGAACTTATTTAGCAAGAATGGGCAATTTCTGCCCTAAGAGAGGGCGCTTTTAGTTATTAGTCATTTTTGTTTCGTATATGCAAAAGTAGCAGGTTATAACTACACGTGATATGAAACTTTGGGTCTGGCATTCTCTCAAGCAAACAGTATAATACCACATATGTAACTATTTCACTGGAGGATCTCGGAGTACTTTACAAATGTGAATTACTCAAGCATCACAACACTCCTGTTATTAAGACACGGAGGATTCAGTGACTGGTTATGCAGGATGCTGAATGCCCTTAGTTTTCCTGCATTTAATGGGAACTGAGGGAGTCTCAGCACTTCCCAGGTGCTCAGAACATAGAATCATAGAATCATAGAATAATAGGACTGGAAGGGACCTCGAGAGGTCATCGAGTCCAGCCCCCCGCCCTCAAGGCAGGATCAAGCTCCGTCTACACCATCCCTGACAGATGTCTATCTAACCTGTTCTTAAATATCTCCAGAGAGGGAGATTCCACCACCTCCCTTGGCAATTTATTCCAATATTTGACCACCCTGACAGTTAGGAATTTTTTCCTAATGTCCAATCTAAACCTCCCCTGCTGCACTTTAAGCCCATTACTCCTTGTTCTGTCCTCAGAAACCAAGAGGAACAAATTTTCGCCTTCCTCCTTGTGACACCCTTTTAGATATTTGAAAACCGCTATCATGTCCCCCCTTAATCTTCTTTTTTCCAAACTAAACAAGCCCAGTTCATGAAGCCTGGCTTCATAGGTCATGTTCTCTAGACCTTTAATCATTCTTGTCGCTCTTCTCTGTACCCTTTCCAATTTCTCCACATTTTTCTTGAAATGTGGCGCCCAGAACTGGACACAGTACTCCAGCTGAGGCCTAACTAGTGCAGAGTAGAGCGGCAGAATGACTTCACGAGTTTTGCTTACAACACACCTGTTGATACAACCTAGAATCATATTTGCTTTTTTTGCAACAGCATCACACTGTTGACTCATATTCAACTTGTGGTCCACTATGACCCCTAGATCCCTTTCCGCCATGCTCCTTCCTAGACAGTCGCTTCCCATCTTGTATGTATGGAACTGATTGTTCCTTCCTAAGTGGAGCACTTTGCATTTCTCTTTATTAAACCTCATCCTGTTTACCTCTGACCATTTCTCTAACTTGCTAAGGTCATTTTGAATTATGTCCCTATCCTCCAAAGAAGTCGCAACCCCACCCAGTTTGGTATCATCTGCAAACTTAATAAGAGTACTCTCTATCCCAATATCTACATCATTGATGAAGATATTGAATAGTACGGGTCCCAAAACAGACCCTTGAGGAACTCCACTTGTTATCCCTTTCCAGCAGGATTTAGAACCGTTAACAACAACTCTCTGACTACGGTTATCCAGCCAATTATGCACCCACCTTATCGTGGCCCTATCTAAGTTATATTTGCCTAGTTTATCAATAAGAATATCATGCGAGACCGTATCAAATGCCTTACTAAAGTCTAGGTATATGACATCCACCGCTTCTCCCTTATCCACAAGGCTCGTTATCTTATCAAAGAAAGCTATCAGATTAGTTTGGCATGACTTGTTCTTCACAAACCCATGCTGGCTATTCCCTATCACTTTATTACTTTCCAAGTGTTTGCATACGATTTCCTTAATTACCTGCTCCATTATCTTCCCTGGGACAGACGTTAAACTGACCGGTCTATAATTTCCTGGGTTGTTCTTATTCCCCTTTTTATAGATGGGCACAATATTTGTTTCATAAGATAACATCATAAGATCAGGCTATATGTGACTTGCCTATGCCACACAGCAATGCCTAGAAGTCCTAAGTCTTAGCTCCTTGCTATGCCGACTAGATTGCACTCCTTTCGGTAACAGAGATGCTTCTTGAAAAGAAAGGTATTATATAGCCAGGTGGAGTATCACCTGCCAAAAACAAGATGAGAGGGAATGAAAGTCCCAGATCATGGCAATTACCACATTTCCACCTGAGTGAGACAGAATTGAATTACCTGTTATTAACTCCCCTCTCCGGGATCCCAGACTCCATATGCCTTTCAGGAATCTGTCTAGGAAACACTGTCATTCTATCTCTCTCTTTTAATACCACGTGGCTTAGCTCTTTGTCATTATTCGTGGAACCCTTCCACAAAGCTCCCCTGGGAAAGATGAATTGGCTAATGGATTTTTTCGGCGCTTTTTATTCTCTTTTCCTTTTCCCCAAAGGGCATCACACC